TTTGCTTTCTTCAAGTATTTTTCAATTAATCATAGATTACTTTCTATTCTCCTTAAGATAAATTATTGAGCCTAATAATAAATAAATATTCATTAATTATTAGAAAAGAAGAATAAAATAAAATAAAGATAACAAGAGTTAAATTATTTTAAAAGTAAATAAAAATTTATTGATTAAATAATTATATTAATTGCTTAATAAATTAAATACCTAAGATCTAGAGTTAAATTAGTGATATTCTAACACTTTTCTAAAGCAGAAGCTATCATTTTAGCTAAATCAAGATTAACATTAGACTCACTATTAAATTAAATAATTAAAATTAAGATAAATTTATTGAGAATGACATACAAATAATTTTAATATTATTTTAATAAAATAAAAAAAATTAATTCTTTATAAAATATATTTAATTTTACATGAGATGAAGAGTTAAATTTGTGATTTTCTGGCACTTTTGCAAAGCTGATAGAATTAACATAATTCCCTCTTGTTTTATGTTATTGTAACTAATAAATATTAATTAATAAATTAATTAAAATTAAAGTTTATTAAAATAATAATAAAAAAATTAGAAAATATAAAAAATAAATTACGAAACGCATAGAGTTAAATGAGTAGTATTCTGATATTTTTTTAAAGATTCTGAAATTTATCTGATTCCTTCTAACTGAAGATTATTTGAGCTAATAAATGAATAAAGAAAGAAATAAATATATTTCAGCTTAAAATGCAATAATAATAAAATTGATATTTACTTATGAAATAAAGATAAAGTAAATAATTAAAATAGACAAAAATATTATTAATTAATAAATGAATTACCCAAGATATAGCTTTAATTAATTAATATTCTAACAAGATTCTAAAGACTATACAATTGCGATAGCTCCTTGATCTTGGATATTATTTTTCCTTATAGCATAAAAATAATAATGAATAATTTAATTAATTAATTACTTATCTATTTCTCAAATAATTTATTTTATTAAAATTTTTAATGAAAAA